TCGATTGTGGCACGAGCAGTGTGGCATATTGCGCCGTCTTGTTGAAACCACAGCTCCTGGACAACATGATTGTTAAATTCAGGAATGAAAAAGTTAGTAATCATGGCTCTATACCGATCACCATTGACTGTAACGTTCTGGCTATCATCGTTTTTGAAGAAGTACGGACCAATGATTCCACCAGCCCATAAAGTGCACCAAATAGTCAGTTTTTCTGGATGTAACGGTGTTTCGACATACACCTCAAGTGTATGATTAGCTTCACTCCAAATGCGGCAGTTTTGTTTGTTGACGTAGCCATTCAACCAGAAGTGCGCTTCATCGCTTTGCCCTGATTGAAGTGTTTTAGGACACAATTGTATGGGGTTTAAAATTTCGACAAACAAAGTACTGACAAATCAAAGCACCAACAATCGTATTTCAACATACATATGTACATACATATATAATAAGTAATATATGGGAACGATAAAACTCATGTTGGTTTCCTAAAGGGGTTTTGGGGTGCAAAATATATATTAAACATACAAAATATATACAACTGTATAAACTCAATGAAGATTCCTAAATGTCTTACCCCTGGTGGGGGCAGAAAAGACTTTATTGAGCTAACTCGTAACATTACATTTTAAATATGATTTCTGGCATATGACCGTTACGGCTGGCTCGGATGTTGTCCCATATTGACGTCCAATTTTCGATTGTTTTTTTCGACATTTGTGGCCGTATATCGACAATTGGAAGGGAAATGTTGTCTTCCAAATGGTTAAGCGTTTGTAATTTATGCGCATAGACCAATGACTTTACATAACCCCGCAGAAAGTAGTCTAGCGGTATTAAATTGGCGGTAACCAAACGTGTCTTTCAATAAATCGATTGTGGCACGAGCAGTGTGGCATATTGCGCCGTCTTGTTGAAACCACAGCTCCTGGACAACATGATTGTTAAATTCAGGAATGAAAAAGTTAGTAATCATGGCTCTATACCGATCACCATTGACTGTAACGTTCTGGCTATCATCGTTTTTGAAGAAGTACGGACCAATGATTCCACCAGCCCATAAAGTGCACCAAATAGTCAGTTTTTCTGGATGTAACGGTGTTTCGACATACACCTCAAGTGTATGATTAGCTTCACTCCAAATGCGGCAGTTTTGTTTGTTGACGTAGCCATTCAACCAGAAGTGCGCTTCATCGCTAAAAAAAATTGTCGACGATAAAATGAACGTACTGCGCGATACGTATTATGCACAGAACTATTATATTCGAAATTAAATTGCACTATTTGCAAGCGTTGTTCAGGCGTGAGTCTATTCATGATGAACTGCCAAACCAAACTGATAATAAATCACTTAACAGCTCTTAAATCGGTCGCGTACTTGAACAGTAATGCAACTTAAAGTTCTATACCTCGAAAAAAAACTTCACTCATCTTCTGCTGTTATACCTCTATCGTCGAAAACTTTAATTTTCACATCGTCATTTGGCTCTTCATCAGAAAGATCAGGATCAATTGTTGCATCTAAAACATCTTCGCACTTTTTCGGCAATTGTGTCAGCTTGTGCAAGACCTCTTTCTTCTTATATGCTTCATCTTCATGTGTTTCATCGCATTCTTCTTCTACTTCTTCCACCCTGTGTGGTTTTTGGTTGCATTTAGTTGGACTTATAGACCTGTTGTCGCTTGTGTCGTGCTCTTCTATTTTGGCATCACTGACTTGTACTAGCTCCAGTGTTATAATGAGCATCTGGTTGTTTGTCAGTGCCTGAAGTGCACTGTACTTGGTTCTCTGCACTTTTATCCACATCTTATTATTTCATCATATTACTTTCATTGACTTCTGGAATTTCGATATTACCAGACACAATCCAAATTTGGATCTGCTAATAATTTGTTTTCCATATATACGCCTTCTTTTCAAATATTTTTATTGGAAGTGCTTTGTGTAATTTGGATAACACCAAGGCTTCTATTTCCGCTACAAAGTTGCTAATAAAACTGGGTCTTATTTCCAGTTGTACTTTATGACGCAAGACTTCTACGCATTCTGCTGAGATGCCACTTATCTCAGTTGTTACCTTTATTTTCGGTAATCCTATCTGAACTGCTTCCTCAGAAATAAACGTTTTCTGCGAACCACTGTCTATTAAGGTCCTTAGTTCTGAAGCTCCTTTTGATGTTCCTACCTTAATGATAGCGGTTGCTAAATATGTCTCCTCTGGTTTCTGCTTAGTCATATTTGATGATATTTTTTGCGCACTTGGCTTATCTGCAGCAACGTATTATGTGATTTGTCGCATACCATGCATTTCTATGCTCTGTAGCAAGTTTTTGTTGCGTGTTTTTCTAAGCATGTAAAGCATAGCTGATTCTTGTGCACTACTTCTAGTCGACGTTCGACATTTAATTTTTGAAACTTTTCCCATCGAGGAATTTCTGTCCTGCCATTTTACAGGAATTTTGTCGAGACCTTATCGTTCCTGTTTGTCTCTTTGAATCAGTAGGCAAATTATATGATTTTTTTAGTGGTTACCAGTTTACAACTCGAAACAATTGTCTAGTTGATTTTTGCATGGAATTCTGAGTATTGTATTGGTGCTCCAAGAATGAAATTACGTCCGATAAATTTTGTATCTCAGTCGGTTTTCGAACGGTGTTTACCATACTCGTCCAAATGTCTGGAAAATTTTCATAACACTAGCTGTGCTAACATGTCCTCTAACGTTCGTTTTTTCTTGATTGTGGCAAAGCTTTCACTCGCGGTGTTTGAGCCTCTCTAGATTATCGCTGAACTGTTTGCGCGCGTTATCATACCTGCCTGCCAGTAACTCCCAGGCGGTATTATAATTTGCACCTGATCCCGTTATCAGGTCAATTAACCATTAGTCTGGCATCTCCTTGCAGACATGATTTTAGATAGCTCAGCTTTTTGGAGTCAATAATGTCCTTATTATCATAAACATACTTCTCAAAAAGCTCTTTAAATTGTTGCCATTCTCGTAATTCTATCTTTGGCAGTTCCAATTGCCTTCTTTTACCGACTTTATCAGATATTATCTGTTTCATTATCTATATATGGCTTGTTGTATTTGATTGTCCTTTCGTGCATACATTTTGCAATGTAGCTCCACCACTTCTCAATTTATGTTCCATAGTTTTTCAGTTTATCTTCGTGTACAGTATCCATTTCTGTCTCCGCTTCTTCAATGATACGTCGAACAAATTGTGCTTTTGTTTCCATTGCCACCACTAGAGGGTCCACTGCATTATCACTTAAGCTATTTGATCTTTCTCTTGCGTCCGTCTTTTTGGATGCTTGTTCCATTTTTAGTTGTTCTGCCGCACACTTACGTTAATATTGTTAACGAAGTAGTCGTGGTTCGGTTCTACTTTTTTTTGTCATCAACTACGTGAGTTGCGATATGGTGAATACGGTCTGTTGAATAATAGTTGCTAAATAATGTTGTGTGCTAACATGATGCTGTTGCAAGTGTTTCCAGAAATTCACGCAGAACGTGATACTTTGACAAATTTTCGACACTGCTGTCGTGATTGCCATCTCGAACGCACCCTTAGCCACATATAAACATTTTTTTTTTTAATCAAGTAAGTTTTTAGGAAGTATGCCCCCACAATATTGTTAGTTGTTCCCCACTAACAATTTTGTGAACAAATTTCATGGTTCCACATTTCGTATAAGACTAGCTCACGATATTCACGATATAAAAAACATAAATTTGTGAATTTTTAAGGCTGAATAAACATTTTTTATACTCTTGCAATATCATCTTTCCATATACTTTAGTATCACCCAACGATTGTTTGTAACACCCAGAACTAATATATGTATATATACATAAATGATCAGGATAGAGAGACGAATTGAAATCCAGATGATTATAACTTGCAATAACTTGAGTAAAAATTGAGATATCGTCATGAAACTTCGTACACGTGTTCCTTGGTCTAATCGGGAGAACGGGTTTAGAGATGGGCGTAATTAGACCACTACCACGCCCACAAAACGCATTAATAGAAAAGCTTAACCTTATTTACCGCAAATTAAGATATAAAACTTTAATTTGGTGCAAAACAAGGCAACTGTGGTTAGAAAATTTTGAAAAAGTGGGCGTGATCCCGCCCACATTTAGATGAAAACCTATATCTTAGGACCGACTCGACCTATATTGACCAAATTTGGTATGTAATATTATCTTGATATTCTTATGTTCCAGTGGGCGAAATCGGATTATAAACACGCTTACTAGGATAAAACTTTGCCCGTATAGTGCGCCACCTTATGACCAATATTTGTCAAAATCGGACTATTGTTATTTCTTGTTATTAACAATAATGTTATATTGATAGTGTTTATTCAAGCCAACGTATTCTATTCGTGTTCGAATCAAAGTTCGATTTTGCCGCTTATGTTATGGATTTCGTTGCATAAGAAAAATACCTCAAAAGTACAATAAAAATCTCAAAATATATTTTCCAAAGGTAGCACCACTTTTAAACGTTGTAAAAAATTGTTGTTTTTGCAGTGTTCTCTCAAATAAAAAAGTTGGGATCATATTATTCATGAATCGAGGACAGTGCAGTGAATTAATTGAGATTTTTTTTAAATTAAAGTTTTTAATTTGTATTTAATTAATTTTTCTTAACAACTAAAACGTAAAACTATAAACTGCGTTCTGCTTGTATGAATGGCAAGAATTGAATGCCGCTAATGGAACGGTTAGAATTTCGAAAGCCAATTCTTGTAAAACTGTAACCGAAAAAGAATGATGATAAAGTAGTAGTGAGTTCCCACAGCATCTTATGTATGATTTTCTCAATATGGTTAAATATTAAAATTGAATTAATTAAATAAATAAACCGCTATATATGCTGAAATAATTAAAATTCTTTATTCTATTGTAAAAGATACCACTAAGTATTCGATAAGTTAGCAAAAATATGTTTATTTGTTTTTCTATCATTAAAATAACTATCGTTAGGTTAATCGTGCGTAAAGAGGGTCCCAACAAGTTTCGCCAATTCTATACATGCTCTAAGCGAGATGCTTCGTGTGGATTTTTCAAATGGAAAGACGAAGCTTTAAGTCAAGGTATGTGCACTCATTTACTTAACTTTTATTCCCAATTTTGCGATATTTACGTTGTGAGTAATAGGCTTTTCTTACAGCCAAATTAATTTAGTACATTAAGATTATAATTGAGAAACCAGTGTTTGCCTTTCGCATAGCCGCCTACTCGATTAACGATCAGCTCTTATACTGCTTGTGTTCTTCATTTTGTATTTTTTCTACTGATTAAAATTTATCAGCTGATTTTACATAACTAAATTTACAGCCTGGACAACAACCCACAAGGTTGCATTCCAATTTCAACTCGATTTGAATTCGATTAAGAATTAATGAAGTAAAATAAGATTTATATTTTGTAAGGTAAATCAATTTAAATCAGCGCTTTAATCGAGTTAACTCTGATGCGAAAAGGCTATAAACTGTTATATTTTCTTAGGGTTATATTCGAACCCATATTCGAAAATTCGTTGAGGTTGTGTTTTGCTTAGCTAAAAAAAAATTAACATTGTAGACAAACAAATATGATAAAAAGTAAACTACGTACGCATTAATAGGATAAAAGTTTTAAGGAAGCAGGTGATCTTCAGAGTGCACCATGGTACTATACTCATTATATAAGAATGGCACAAATGAGCTTACCGAACCGAATGAGTGTAACCGAACATGTTATACTCTCGCAATTTTAAAAGATCAAAGCCGGTCAGTTTAAAGTCAATCTCTGCACAAGGACGGACAAGAATCTCTAAATTTCATTAAAATAACTCACTAATTGATTAGTATATGGGGCCAGTTGAACTATTTACCCGATTTTAGCCATTATCGATAAGAGGGCACATTATTATCAATTTTCGCTCTTAATTTCATAAACATATACTCGTATATCTCAAATATTGACCGAAATTTTGGTACAAAGTGAGACATGCACTACGGTACACTACACTGTACTACTGGTTTTTTGAGATGAGTACTTTAAACTTATTAGGGGGCAGAGTTACGCCCACTCTTTAATCATTTTTAAACCCCTGTTGCCCTTCTTTTCTTTCGTACCCCGTACCAAATTACAGTTTTGTATCTAATTTTATGGCTTTGTTATAGCCCTTTATAATTTTTTTCTTTATTTTGTTATCTCGATTAGTTTTTGAAACAACCGTTAGGTAAATGAAACTATTAACTATGTTGCGAGTGTTTAAAAAGTGAAAATCAGTCATACAACTTATTGATTTTAAAATATTAATTGTTGTCAGTTCTTTAGAAATTGTGAAGTCCTATCAAAAGAAAATGAAGCAAATCTGCTTTTTTTTTAATTAAACTTCATTTCTCGAACCGGATTTACCATATAAAAGTGCGATTTTCCTAATAATGAATGCTAAATTTCTTTTGCAACCCTACAACAATAAAATTCAGTTAAAATACAGTAGTACAGACCAAATTTCCAATATGGTACTTATAAAAAATGCCCTTAAACTAAAAGCGATTCAATAAAAATTTATTTTTAATTTAGGATTTTATAAATTAGTAATAACGATGAAGGCATCAAAATGTAAATGTCTTCATTTAATATTTCGTAGCGCCTCCTATTTTTTTATGACTGCTTTATTCGTTCGGGCATGGAGTCAACTAACGACTGTAAAATTTGTGTCGTTATACCAAACGTCGTCAATGATTCGATCAAATCTTGGCAAAGTCCTTGGTCTCTTCTTTATTATCCGCACTTTCATGATGTGCCAAGGTTTTCTATGGGGTTTATATCGGGACTGTTCCCAGGCCAGTCCAATAATTAAACTACCAATTCTGCTAAATATTTATTTATCTAAAAAAATTTAAAATGTGAAGTAACCATATTTTTTTAGAAATGAAATTTTAATAAGATTATGTAATATAAAAATAATATTACGTACCGATTTGGCACGATGGCATGGTGAGAATCATCCTGACAAATGTGCTCTTCAATTGAATGAACCCGGTTTTCCTGTAAGAGCTGTTGGTATTTAATTGCGTTAACATTTCCATCAACCAAGGCTCAATACTATGATAGAAAAAAGACCCCCAGATCATCCGCGATACGTCTGACACACTCATTATTGAAACGTTCACCAACTCCTATGCGAACGTACAAAATTCCATCTGAACCAAAGAAATTAATTTTTAATTCATCTGAAAACATGACTTCTCCAATCTTCTTTGGCCAAGGTTATATGCAGTTTACCCCGATTTAGGCGTTTTTATCGCATTTTTACTATCAAGAGCGGCTTTTTTGTAGGTGGACGTGCAGTTAGTCCGCTTTCTTGAATGTTACTGTATACAAGTATGTATAATTAATTATAATCTTAGTTATTTTATTATATAGGCTAATAATCCCAATTTAGGTTTTGAGAGAGCGGAAAAATATAATGTAAGAAATCGAAATTTCTATCGCATAGAAAAATATACAAATATGAATATTGTAAAGCCACTACTTTCTACAAAAGCAACTATTTCTTAAAGTTTAGACACGACTTAGTAATCGTATTCACACATTTTTTGATAAATTTGTATGTAAATTTCAAGCGTATGAACTGAACTCCAGATCTAATAATTAAATTTAAAAATAAACTACTGATTTATTATTATTAAATTATTGTTATTAAACACGTACAATGAAAAAGACAATTAAATAAATCCTTTTGTTGCTACTGTAGTTTTACAACAACAGACCATAAAATGACGCATCAGCGAATATGCTGATAGTACCGTTATATTTTCTGTATGCGGTGCATCTGACTAATATTATACACATCTTCAGTTAAGTCACAAGAGAAAACTTGAAAAAAATATCTTTCATTTTTCATTTACCAAGTATTCAAAATGACCCTAAAAATTTATTAGAGTCTGACATAAAAAAATTTTACGTAATATCTGGGTTAAGCTATCAATTTATCAGCTTTTATTTTTAATTTACTTATTTCTTTAGGCGCTGCGTCCAGTATCAGTCAAGGTGATCAGAGTTCAAGTAACAGAAAGCATGCTTCGAAAGGTATTTTTATTTGTTTTGCATATAATTAACCTACCTATAATTAAAATGTTTAATTTTAGATTCTGCCCCAAAACGGAAATGCGGTTTGTGTCGTCAGGAGGGTCATACTCGCTTAAAGTGTCCTCGAAAATCTGAGCTTAAAATTAAGTAGTTTATATTCGTAAATATATATATTTCCTTGATTGGTATTAAAATCTGGTGCTATTTTTTATCTTGTTATATATATGTGTATATATTAAGGACTACTGTTTTTTTCAATACTAATGATGCGGTTATAGGTTAGGTTAGGTTTAGCATCACACTGGGACTACTATATTTAGTCCTTAGTAAAGTCATGAAAATATAATCTTATGAGTCGGAAAAGCGCCTTGTGGCCAATACAAATTTCCTTAGGTGTTTAATCGCTATTCCCATCTAGCAAACAAGAATGTTGCGATGTTTCCACCTCGTCTTTTGCCATACAGCTTCGGTATCCGGTAAGATTTACAACCTTACAGAGTGGACACCGATAGGGCAATAGTCTATTTAGACCCCCACAAGTACGCAGAGTCTAGGCTTACTAGATCTCTTGCGATCGATCTTAGGCCAAAAGGATCTTGCGACATCGACAGAACCGATGGTAGCCCAGCGCTGCCCAAGCACCCTATTGATAACGAGGTTAGGCATTCCTCAACCAGCCTTGAACGCACGGTTAGTGAGCTCAAAGTTAGTATCGCCGCCGTACTATCAAAGTGGATAGTCACTCTTCTGAATGAGGCTGCATCCCGGAGCAGAAAATCTACCGCTACTTTAATAGCTTTGGCTTGAAAAACACTACAGCAGTCAGGAAGTCTGAACTGACTGCTATCCGTCCGTAAAGAAGCATCATCCAGCGGCCTCTACCCACCCACAACTCCTTTGCAGGTATGCCGCTAGTTTGGTTTGGCGACTGGATGATCCAAAAGACTCGGTATGAAGTCAAAACGTACGAGAATTTCCGAATGTTCAGACACATGTTCGTTTAGAAACCCAATTAGTGCACCAGCACTACACACAGCAGCACTACAAGGCAATCAATACCTTCCATGCTCTCTCCTCAATATTAGGCTTCTATGAAAGCTTCCTATCCAGGAAGAGCCCTAAATACTTCACCGTATCTGCAGGCTGAAGGTGGTTGGTTTCCATACGCAGCAGAGGTGCATGCAAAATCTTTTACCTGCTAGTAAATAAAGCCATCTCAGTTTTATTTGAGTTAATACCACTTCCAGCCGCACAATTATTTACGACGCTAAGGTACCCTTGTGTCAACTCGTACGACCGGTCGTTGGCGACCAAGGTTCATAGAAGAGGAGAAAGAACTCCACCTTGTGTGATGCCCGTATTCCCATTTCGCCGAGCAACTGCCTTACCCCCCTCCGTCACGATCACTCTGTCGCAGAGAAGACTAAAAATAAAGTGTTGAAGGTTCGCTTCAACTCCAAAAACGTCCAGAGCTATTATAATCGCTTCCTACAAGACATTATTGAACGCTCCCGTAATATCTAGGAAGGTCCCAACATTGAACTCTTCACTGAGCTAACCTTTCAATAAGAGTGTTACGCTCCTGATAAATGGTCCCTCGAAAAAGGCTCCGTTATGTGTCAGTCGATCAGTCATATGCTAATTAGAAAGGTTTTTGTTTGGAGTGGGGCTTCGTCCTTGGAATTTGGAACGTTTCACGTGTACTGAAGGATACGTGTAATTGTCTGCACAACAAATACAATAAATATTGACATAAATATATTTTCAATAATTACATAATTTTATAATAAATATTAAGATCAATACTAAGACTAATATTCAAGATTATGGGCTACCCCACGTAACTGCTCGTCATTTTCCCAAGATTTAACAACATTTAGGAGACGATGATCGTGATTTTGGTATTTACGTTTCTTAGCTGAACGCTTCTCACCTCCGACGATTAGCTCCAAATCGAATTCGACTGCCACTTGTTCAACTCGGAGAAATCCTGTAAATGCCCATATCGTTACGGGAGCATTTTGGACACGAATATTGAACGTATTGTACCACTCCTCTATCGCATTGTTTGTTCGCTCTACTTCGTCGACGGTTGACTGATAGTGATTCCATACTGCGATGTGATATGTGCAATGTTGGCGTTCGCCACGACGAGTTAGCTAACCAATCCAAGTATTCTTCATATAAGCCAAAAATTCACTCAACTCATCGGAAGATTTAAAAAAAATTTCATTTTTATCATAGACTCGTAGACAAAAATAACGCAACAGGAACTTACGTTAACGCATAAAACATCTTCATGTGCAAGGCATTATCACTATCACGTGAGTACAAAAATCTTTCCTTACATTTAACTTGATGATCGCGAGGATCACAACATAAAAATTCATCCATTGGAGTATTCTTATATTAATCACCAATAACGAGTTGAGTGATTGTTGTCGGAATGGTTGGAGCTATTTTTTTTTATCAACTCAAATTCGACGATTGGTGCGACTAAAATTTTAACGCCTAGTTAATTGTCCAGCGGTTGACTGTGATATATTACGAACAGTGTTTGATATCACCCGACTTGGCATATTTCATGTCGATGCCATGTGTTTTATATTTGCCATAATCTTACTTGCTAAAACTTTAGCCACATTTGGTAAATGATTATGCACCAAAAAAACATGTTTTCACATTACAAAAAAATAACAAATCTAATATAAGAATATCATACAAATCATCGTCTTCCATATTACAAACACGTGCTCTAAATTTCTTTGTATTGTAATCAACACATCGCCATGTGACTTTTTCGTCTGATTTGCTTTGATACGTGTATATAAATCTCTTCAAATGAAGGGTTTCCCTCCTTTTGGATTGATAATAAATTTTTCAATGTTATTCACTAATATCTATATAACGGCGATTACTTAGTACTTATTATTAAATTAAAATATTTTTAGAGGTTTGACCGTCGTGTACTGTTTACTGCCACCGCAGATATTGGGACTGAGTTATTGTATTTCAGACTATACGTTATTAGGGTAACGATGCGAATTATAGTAATGACATATATTAAACCCAAATATTGAATGAATATAACTATAATAGTCATTAAAAACGAACTATAGAGAGCGGAAAATATTTAAATACTATGTTAGATATGAGATTTGTTTATATTGTGACTTTTTTGTTGGGATTTTTCGGTACGGGATATTTGTAATTGGAATGTTTTTGTAGCGAGTTATTTTTGTTAGTGTATTTTTTATTTTGGATATTTTGGCTAAAACTATCTGGATATTTTCTTCTGGGATTTTCTGACCGTCTACCGAGGCTGATGAGCCTAAAGCCTTTGTCGTGAAGTGGGCGCTCTTACCAGCCTTCGGGATGAACGTAACTCTGATCCGTCTCCATGCCCCCAGCATCACGTAGATGGATGTCAGCCAGTTGCATGAGACCTTAACAGTCTGTTGCAGTTGCGCTGGTGCAGTTATAATAACAAAATAATTATCTGTGAACCTGAAATATAAAAATAAATTTCAGTTGTAAAAGTTTAAAAAATTATAAAAATTAAATAAGCGAAAATATTTTATTTACCAGTTAAAGCAAAAAATGTTACAAAATGTAATACATAGATTAGAGTGGAGATTGATACAACGTAAGAAAATAATTAAGTATTTGAGAGGGGTTATTTAGAAGCTATCAAATACATTTCAGTTAAAAGTTCTCAATATCATTTCATACAGAATTCTTTTCCGCAATGGTAAAGATTATTGGTTTTCAATATCATTTCATACAAGATTCTTTTCCGCAATGGTAAAGATTAATGGGCACATCGTATGGAAGCACCGGAGAAAATGACGGCAACTAACACATGGGGGGATCCATGCGAGGAAGATCGCTATGACCGATTATAACCTCGGTTCATCAAAAGAGTGATTGATAAAGAGTTACCCGGACATTTATTATTTTTATTAGGAGGTAATCTTTTGTCCTAACTTCTGTGCAATTATACAATATGTTTCAACTGATTATAATTGTTTTGTGCACCTAACGGTTATTTGTAACACCTAAAACCAATCGACATAAATATAGACTTATTTATACGTATATATATATTTTCAAAATGACGTTAAGCAATACTTATATATAAGTGACATTGCTACACTCACTCGAACAATTAATCAGTATCTAATACGCGCTTATACGTTAGAAGTGAAATAATCAAGATGACCTTCGGTAGAAGTAGATATCGAGGAATAAGTTAGTTTTTAAGCAAACATTGAAATATTATGTTAATAAAAATAATAGTAAATTAAATTCAATTATACTATTCGATTTTATTCAAGTTAATAATAATTATTTAAATTAATTTTAATGTTTAATTTTATTCGCGCAGTCTGTAGGATCTACGAAAGAGATCCTTAAACGAATCTACTATGAAAAATTAATAATAATTATATTAATTAAAATAAACTTGATAGAGAAAAAAAAGCTTAATAAATACTAATGTCATTTGATTTCAACATAATGTACAATGTCAGTCTATATTGAAAATGAGGTATACACCGCGACCCTAAGTTTATTGTGCCCTAATGTCAGTGTAAGACCGTCGCAAAGTCAAATGGTATACTCGTTTGAGATTTCTTTATATATTGTATTTTAATCATTAGAAGTAGGAACTGTTGCCTCAGTTATTTACATTTACAGGGAAATTAATTAGAGCATTTTATAAACTAAACTTACTCAAATTATGAGAAATCATTCTGGTTTTTGGTTCTATACGCTTATATAATTGATTTTATATATTGTAGGTTGTATTTATTACAACTGTATTGAGGAGTGTGAAAACAAAAAAATATTTTAAAAAATATTAAAAATTTTGAAAATGATTCATACAAATATTTGTCAATTGAAAAAATAAGGGTTTTGCCATTTGGCATTTTACTCAAAATTTTATTTTATTTAACTTTTTGTTTTGAATTTTAAAAACATGCTTATGTTTAGAAGTACATTTTTTTATTTATAAATTGTTTTACCTTTGAGATATAAAGTTGAATCAAACTGTGCACAGTGCACTAAATTTTAATAAAATCGGTCCAGTAATTTATGTTAGGAGATTACTCCGAAGAAAACGTCACACGTAATTTTTATTGGTATACTACTCTACATAGGTACATATATCCATGTAGATAGATTCAACAAAATAAATAAATAGAAAGAGAATATACTTTTAGCCTAAGGCATTCAAGAAAAACACATTTCGTTACAAATCGTCATTAATAGATTATAGTCTAAAGGCCTAATTTCTTTAGTAAGGGCAAATTGGAATATCATAAATCTTTACAAAGGAATCGCAACAATATCCTTCAAAAACTGTTGATTTTACCTTAATACATCTAAGTCTTTCCATAAAACATTCTAATCTTAAATGTCTTGATATGTCGAGCAGGCAGGCTTGACAGGCTGAGGTTTGAAACAGATAGTTCCATTAAAACTAAATCTTTAATTTTGTAGCAAGACCTTAGCTTTTAACTTGAAAAACACTTGTATCCAAATCAGCTGTCGAATTTAATCAGTTGATTGAGATAATACTTTGTGTAGAAAATTTTGATGTTGGAAATAAAAACAAGATAGTCAGGGTGTTGTAGAATCTGATAGTTGTCGGAATCAAATTGAAACCGATAAAAATGTAGTAGTGTATGAATTCAGATATTATTGGTTTGACGTTCGAAACAGAAATTGTATCGTTTTGTGTCACGACCAATTTTATCGGTTTTGTTATCAGAAACAAAGCAAAAGGATTTTTGATGACATATTTAAAATGTAAGTTAAAAAAATTATTTATATTCTTGTTACGATTTAATTTATCGTTATTTCTATAGGGGAAGACATAAGAATAAAACAAAAAATGTCATAATTATCGAGTTTATGGAAAAAATCAAGATATTTTAAGAGAATTTACCAAACGTAACAAACATAATTTAACACCCAAATGCGTCTTTATTCAGTCGATAATGTGATTATGTAAATCTTAAAGTAAGCATTATACAAACAAGTAAATCAAGCCGAATTTCATCACGACTCCTGTGCCAAGTGGATTACTGTGCTCTTTTAATATATTCCTTTTATTTTTTTCGTTGCTTTGTTTCTTCAAATAAAATAAAATCTAAAATAGCGGAACTCATTGTAAAATTTAGTAGACTTCATTCAGCATTTCAAATGTAAAAAACGCTTCCTAATTTATTCATTTAAAAAATTTTGTCACAATAGTAGACAGCTGATTCGAATATTGGCTTTGCATATTGTACCTATGGCTTGAACAGTTTTGGTTCCTTTAACAATTTTGGTCAAGGTTTACCCGATACAATCATTGTTGCTTGATTTGCATAGTGGAAAGTGAAAGAATCAGATGGATTTCACCCGTTTTCACACTGTCGATAGAGGTGCTAAAAAAATTTGTTCCCAGTGAATTTTTATACTCTCGCAACCTGTTGCTACAGAGTATAATAGTTTTGTTCACCTAACGGTTGTTTGTATCACCTAAAACTAATCGAGTTAGATATAGGGTTATATATATATAAATGATCAGGATGAAGAGACGAGTTGAAATCCGGGTAACTGCCTGTCCGTCCCTCCGTGCAAGATCTAGAGGTAAAATGAGATATCTTTATGAAACTTATACATGTTTCTTGCCGTAAGACGGTTGGTATTGCAGATGGGCGTAAACGGACCACTGCCACGCCCACAAATCGCCATTAATCAAAACAAATAAGACCATATTAAGCTCCGCAATAAGATACAAGACTTGTATGACACAGGATCACATTAGGGAGGGCATCTGCAGTTAAATTTTTAAGTGGGCGTGGTCCCGACTCTAATAGTTTAATGTGCATATCTCCTAAACGCTAATGCTATATTAACAAAATTCACTGGAGAAATGTTTTAGCACTTCTATTGACGGTGTGAAAATAGTTGAAATCGGGTGGCTCCGCCCACTCCCCATATAACGTACTTTAAAACTACTAAAAGCGATAAATCAAACTAAACACGCCAGAGACATAAATTTTATCTCTGGGATGGTATGAGATGACTTTCTAGAACCGCGTTCAAAATTAGACAGTGGGCGTGGCACAGCCCACTTTTAGGTGAAAACCCATATCTTGAGATCTGCTTAACCGATTTCAACCAAATTCGATTTTAACTGATTCTTTCACTTTCCACTATGCAAATCAGGCAACAATGACTGTATCGGGATAAACTTTGCGTGAATAATGCGTTTAAAGTATGCCACCTTGTGGCAAAAAATTATCTAAATCGAAATAAAACTGTAATAAAAATAAATATCTGGACCCCAGTGCCTATAGTTGACCTTCTACCGAAAATATCAGTTAATCCACAAAGAAATTTCAAACGAGTATACTATTTGACTTTGCGAGAGTATAAAATGTTCGGTTACATCCGAACTTAGCCCTTCCTTACTTGTTTTATTATAGCTTTAGTGGTTTAGGAGATATGCACATTAAACCTATTAGGGAGCGGGACCACGCCCACTTTTTAAAAAAATATTAAACTGCAGATGCCCCTTCTTAATGTATACCAAATAACAGTCTTGTATTTTAGTGTAGAGCTTAGTTATGGAAATTTATTTGTTTTTGATCAATGGCATTTCGTGGGCGTGGAAGTTGTCCGATTATGCTCGTCTTATTAACCGTCTTACGGTAGCAAGAAACATGTGTACCAAGTTTCATAAAGATATCTAATTTTTACTCAAGTTACAGCTTGCACAGACGGACGGACAGACAATCACCCGGAATTCAACACGTCTCTGCATCCTGATTATTTATATATACCAAACCCTATATCTAACTCGATTAGTTTTAGGTTATACAAACCCGTTAGGGAACAAAACTATATACTTTGTAGCACATGCTGCGAGTATATGAAAGAGTTTGTAAATAAATACTACTAAAGTAAATATCAATTTTGCCGATTACTTAACTGTTAGGTAATTTGGTAAAAATCATTTAAAACGAAAAAGAGTTAGACTATACAAAAGTTGAGCTTAGTATAAATAAAGAAACAACAATGACTGAAGAAGTGAGGCGATCTCGTTTGCAACGAAGGAAAACGTAAGAGCGATCTCGTTAAGCTGATTCAACCATTTGACGCAAGTAAATAGAATATGTAAAATTATGCATTTATGAACGAAAATATAAGTGTTAAGTCACAATACGAATTTTAAAAGAAAATAATGTGTTTGAAGATGATAGAAGACAAACAAAATCATAATCAAAGAAACAACTCATTTTCCAGACTTTCCACCCTTTCTGACATAAATTCAATTATAGAAAATGGTAACGAGCTTCAACATTTTTCTCCATCTAGGGGAAATCGATTTTTTTACTATTCTCATGGCAATAACTATCGGGATATAGCTTATCACCTATAACCAAATCACTTGTATCATTCAAATCCAAATTATTGGATTTATTACCACAAATGCATGCAACTTTAAATTTTCTTAAGTTATGCTAGAAATAATTGTAGTGATTTTAATACCAATAATGTACCTACAAAATTCGTAACAAATAAAAAGCAATGAGAACTAATTCGAATCAATCCAGAATAAGGCGATACAGCGCTCCTCATCCAATGGAATTTGAGCCGTCAAATTTTCAATTAGCAGCCTCGGAGGATTGCCCACGAGATAAAATCGGATCAATACTA